TTGATGTAACTAGATTTCTGGTGGGATTGAAGCCTGAATATGAACTGGTGAGGGCTTAGATGCTAGGTGGGTCTGCCTTCCCCTCTTTCGAGGAAGTGTTTTCCCGTCTCTAGAGGATTTCTATTGGCTCTCCAGAGAACCCCACCATATCCGATAGGACTGCCCTTGCAGTGGCTAGAGGGGGCGGCCGTGGTGGTAGAGGAGTAGCTCATCAGGGCCAACCAGGCCATGGTAGTAGAGGTGAACACATGTACAGTCGTGGTGGTGGGCATGTTGGCGGTCGATATTCAGGGGGAGCTCGTGGTAGAGGACGTAATCATGGTCCGAGAAAGTGTACGTATTGTGGTATGGATGTGCACACTGTTAATTTTTGCTATGATCTACATGGCCCACCGTCATCCTAGGTAAATCATGCAGTGGCAAGTGGTGATATGGAACAAGGGAGTCAACAGACCGGTGCGACACCTTCACCTATAGATGCCTCCAGACAAGAGATGATGAGTATTTCTCATACTGAATATGAGCGGTTGATCCAGGATACTTCTCAACCGAGTACAGCTAAGCTTGCCCACTTAGGTATGGCTTGTCTGGCATCCAAATCCTCCCACTAGATCATTGATTCTAGAGATTCCAATCACACGACTGGGACTCCAGGTGTGTTTTCTTCACTTTCTTCATCCTCTACAATCAACACTGCCACTCTTGCTAATGGTTCCACTTCTTCCATAAGTGGTATTGGTGATGTTAAAACTGGTTCATTATCTTTGTCTTCAGTTCTATATGTACCCAAATTTCCTTTTAGTCTTATGTCTGTTAGTAAATTGGCCAAGTCTCTTAATTGCTCTATCACCTTTTATCCTTCATCTTGTGTATTTCAGGATCTCAAGACGGGGATGAAGATTGGTGGAGGGCATGAAGCTGGTGGACTGTATTACCTTGATGGTGGTGGTGGTGGTTCTTCAACAGCTCTTCAGTTGCCTCTCACTCCTCTCCAGTGGCATTGCAGACTTGGGCATCCGTCTCTTAAAGCACTTAAGCAACTTGTTCCAGCATTGAGTCGTCTTTTTACTTTGGATTGTAAGTCGTGTCAGTATGGGAAACATCATCGAGTTTACTTCAGTCCTAGAATCGATTATCGTATGTCGAGTCCTTTTTCTTTGGTCCATTCGGACATTTGGGGTCCAAATAAAGTAGTGTCACACAATGGATACAAGTACTTTGTTATTTTTGTTGATGATTATTCAAGGATGACATGATTTTATCTTATGAAAGAAAGAAGTGAATTATTTTCTATTTTCCAAAAGTTTCATGCTGAAATCCGCACTCAATTTGGTATTCACATCAAGATCCTACGTTCAGATAATGACCGAGAATATTTTTATACACCCTTTCAGCAATATTTAGAACAACATGGTATTGTTCATCAAACCTCTTGCTCTTACACCCCCAAACAAAATGAGGTGGCTAAACGGAAAAATCGCCATCTCTTAGAAACTGCTCGGTCCCTGTTGCACCATATGAATGTACCCAAACGTTTCTAGAGTGATGCTATGCTTACATCTTGCTTTCTTATTAACAGAATGCCTATGTCCATCCTTGATGGTTAGTCTCTTGTCCTGTTTCCTACATTGTCTCCTTTTCCTCTTACTCCTCAGGTTTTTGGGTGTATGTACTTTGTTCATAATCTTGGTCCCAAACTAGACAAATTAGATGCACGATCAATGAAGTGTGTCTTTCATGGCTATTCTAGGACCCAAAAAGGGTACAAGTGTTACAATCCCAGTTCTCAACATTGTTTTGTGTGACCCGATGTTACCTTCTTTGAGTCGGTTCCGTTCTTTTCTGGGTCAGATGTCTCTTCCCCTTCTTCTTTCCTTCCGCTTCCAGTTCCTGTCGCGAACCCCATTCCTCTTGTTCCAGTTGCGCCTAAATCTTCACCTCCGGTGCCACTTCCTCTTGCACGGCCACCTATCTATCAAGTGTATACGCATCGACATGCACCGGCCCCTCTAGCTTATTCATCGTCGACGGATCCAGAAGTGACTTCCGCAACACCATCACCCCCCGTTTCTAACCTTGACCTTCYCATTGCCCTGCGGAAAGGTAAACGTAGTTGTACCCTTCATCCTATCTCCATTCATGTTTCTGTTTCTCACCTATCTCCTTCCCATCGACAATTTGTTTTGTTGTTATCTTCTGTTTCTGATCCTAAGGATGTCCAGGAAGCCCTTATCTCTCCGGGGTGGCGTCAGGCGATGGAAGAACTCTCAACTCTAGCTCATAATCATACGTGGGATCTCACCACTCTTCCCCCAAGTAAGCATACTATAGGATGTAAGTGGGTATGTACGGTCAAGTATTTGCCTGATGGTAGTGCTGAGAGATTGAAAGCTCAATTGGTTGCCAAGGGTTATTCACAGTTATATGGTATTGACTACACAGAGACCTTCTCTCCTGTTGCCAAGATTGGTTCTGTTCATGTTTTGATCTCCCTAGCTGCTATACATGATTGGCCCTTGTTTCAGCTTGATATTAAGAACATTTTTTTGCATGGTGATCTTCTTGAAGAGGTGTATATGGAGCAACCACCCGGGTTTGTTGCTCAAGGGGAGGATGGTAAGGTGTGTAGGCTCAAGAAAGCTATTTATAGACTTAAATAGTCCCCTCGTGCTTGGTTTGGCAGATTCAGTGAAGTCGTAAAGAAGTTTGGCATGAAATAGTGTCAGGTTGACCATTCAGTATTCAGCTATGACTCTAATGTGGGGAAGATTTTGTTAATGGTTTATGTTGATGATATAGTTATTACTGGCAGTGACAGGCCCAGGATTGACAGGTTGAAAACATTTCTGCATGATCATTTTCAAACAAAAGACCTTGGCAAATTGAAATACTTCTTAGGGATAGAAGTGGCAAGGTCCAAGTATGGTATTAATTTGTGCCAGAGGAAATATGTTCTTGATCTATTGGAGGAGATAGGCTTATTGGGTGCCAAACCAGCGGAAACACCCATGGAATTGAATGTCAAGTTGAGCAGTGATACAGGTGAGGAGTTTGAAGATCCAGGAAGGTACAAAAGGTTGGTGGGCAAGCTAAACTATCTAACTATCACTTGGCCAGATATCTCAGTTGCAGTGAGTGTGGTGAGTCAATTTATGAAGAATCCTCAGGTTCCACATTGGGACGCTGTCCTAAGGATTGTAAGGTATTTGAAGGGAGCTCCTACTCGTGGCTTGCTATATAAGAGTGGTGGAAATATTGAAATAGAGGGATATACAGATCCTCATTGGGCTGGATTTATATCTGACAGAAGGTCTACTGCAGGTTATTGTACTTTCCTAGAGCCATGGCACATACAACTTGTGAACTAGTGTGGCTGAGAAATCTCCTATAGGAGATGGGGTACTCGATTACCACTCTGATGAAGCTATATTGTGGCAACCAAGTTGTAGTCCACATCTCCTTTAACCCAGTTTTTCATGAGAGAACAAAACACATAGAGGTTGATTGTCACTTTGTGAGAGAAAAGGTTCTTAGTGGAATGATAAGTACAACATATGTTAATACAGGGAGTCAATGAGCAGATTTGTTTACCAAAGGGTTGAACCGAGCAAGAGTGGATTACATATGTAACAAGTTGGGACTATATGATATATACTCTCCAGCTTGAGGGGGAGTGTTTAGTGTCAACTAAAGAAGGGTAGAATAGTCATTTGAGTTTTATTAATATGATGTTGTGTCTTTTAGTGAGTGCTGATGTGTCCCAACTTAAATAGGGGCATAAAAGACTTTTTCTATTTATTTTAGTAATCTATATATCCTGGTCAACCTAAGAGAGAATTAGAACTATTCTCTTCTCTTGGGTTCGAACAGGTTTTCTTCTTCTCTCCCTCTCTCTCTCTTACTTCTTCTCTTTAACGTCAACTCAAGATCTGAAACTGAAATCGCCACTCTTAAACTCTTATTTTTCCCTTTAATTCTTGGTGTTTTCATTTTCTTCTAACTTATATAAGAAACCATAAATTACTAAAAAAAGTTAGTCATGATTTTACTATAAATAGCAATTGAAAGAATTGCTCTAAATAGTATCTCAAAAGTTACTATAAATAGTAAATTTCTACAAGATTAAAACTTAACTCTCTAATGATTAAACCAACACAAACCAAACTTGACACCAAGACTACTATTATGAGTAAAATAGTAAGTTAGATCCACTAGTCAACCTGTTGACTTTGACCATAACCTGCATGTCTTCCATTTCTTTTGTTCCATATTTGTATCAGCAGAGTACAGGCTAAGGCACATGAAGTCTCAGAGGTGTTATGAGTTTGTTCATTACAAGATAAGTTGGGAGTCTAATATGACAGGCCTATGGTGCTTTACTGAAATAATCAAGTAGCAATTAATATAGCCCATAATCCAATACAGCAAGATAGAACAAAGCATATCAAGGTTGACAAACATTTTATAAGAGAAAGGGTAACTTTTGATGAGGTCTATCAACCATTTGTGGATTTTGGAGGATAGATAGCTGATGTGATCACTAAAGGAGTTTCTAAAGCTAATTTGGAACATTGTGTAGACAATCTGGACATGATTAACACCTATGCTCAACTTGAGGGGGAATGTTGAGATGTTTATTTTTCTCCTTGTTTGTGTTTATGTTGCTGTTTTCTTATGCTATCTTACTGCTTATGTTTCTGCCACCCGCGGAGGGTATACTAGTCATTTTTCACAAGTCGCGCACACCACAAGACCGTCTTCCCACTCTAATTGATTTCTTTCATTCTAACCTCTTCTTTTTCTCTGTTCTYTCTTCTTCAACCTACCTACTTGGGTCTGCTATATTTGAAAACTTTTCTATAACTTATCAAGACAAGTAATTTTTTGACACACAATCAAGACAAGTAAAATTAAATACATAAAAATGAAAAACTGATCATGCACATCACAAATCAGAACCTTAAACACACAAACCTTAAGCAAAGGAAGCAGATTCTTACTGAAAGCTGTGGCAATAAGGCAGTGAGATTTCCCAACAATTGTTCAAGTGTTCGTGCGGGAGGAAGTCCATCACCAATGACCATTGCCATCTTAATTAGATCACCTAATGTCATGAAATATGGGAGAAACTAGGATGAGTACAAATTGAAATCCAACACAACAGAAAATAGGTGAAAATTGTGGATTTCAACAAACTTAAGAGCAACAGGATGGTCATCAAATGGATCCCAAACAAACTTACTAGTTACAACATTAAGAGTACAAAGAACATGTGAATAGGTGGAAGAGCAAACATTAAGAAGACTTGACTAACAGATTTGATACCCAGCAGCCAACAACTACTGGTCCAACTACAGTCCAAGCCCACACTCAGCCAGTGGGTAACCTCTGAAAGCCCAATCCATTGCCCATTAAGTATGTTTACAGGAGGAAGCCACATCAGCCAGTTAGGATGGTCAGGCAGGATCCAGTTATTAGATCTGTTTGTAACTATATAAATACAGGAGTTGGCAATGAAAATTGAATTGATTTCCTCCATTTTTCACTCCCTTTTCTGTATGGGGGTTTGGATTTTGCTAAGGTGGTATTTTGTTTGGGTGTGGTGGGTGCTACATGGTTGATGTCTCCAACCTTGCTACAACCCAGAATTCACTAAACCAAACTTTTATTCACCAAAGCAACTCTTCTGATTTCCAATTACAAAACCTATTTATAGACTCAACATGTAGGCTTGGATCACCCTTTATTGACTCCAACTCTAACTAAGAAATTGACCAGAACTGACTCCTAATTGCATTAGAATTAAAACAAACCTACATAATGTAGTACATATAACCCATAGGAATAATCAAATGTATACTCTGACTCCAAAAACAATTAAGAAAAAATAATACCAAAATTATAAGATAATTCTGACTTTCTTCCACAATAAAAAAAGAATCCCATTTAAGATTTCAAAGAGACAAATCACATACCCATGATGAAGCTTAGAAGGTAAAGGACAGTAACATGAAGTCTATTTGGCAAAGCCTCCAAAACCGGGAGCAATGGTTGAAGTTGTGATTTTCCAAATGATGTTGCTAATAATAAAAAGGAAAAATATTACTAACTTATAATACAAATTAAAAGGAATCAAAGATGATTTAAAAAGCACAAATTTTATAATAGAAAAGATAAACCACACATGTGCAGTCTGACCTGGATTGGCTAATACCAGTACTAAGTCTATAGAAGGGTTACGAGCAGCAACTGAAAGTGCTAAACATCCTCCAAATGAATCCCCAACTAAATAAATTGGCTTATTTGGAGCTAAAGCATGCTCAAGTTTCACAGCATCTTCAACAAATTTCACCAGTCCTAAACAGAAGGGAGAGAAAAAAAATAACTAGTTTTTCCATTGATAAATCCAAGAAATTGTTAGCATGCATAAAATACAATAAAAATGTGTACAATATATTGGTCAATCTGAAAACATAAATATAGATGATAAAACATCCACAATATGGAGAAAATTACCATTTCAGTTAGGTATCTATGAACCTACAGGGAAGTGTTAAGCAAACAAAATGTAGAGAGAGAAAGAGGGAGAAAATAAGATATTCCTGCCAGTATCCATAAATTTAAAATCCATTGGAAACCAAAGGGTCCTACACCATGCATCATTTTATATCCCACAGTGATACCTTCTATTCCCAAAACCCAACCTAAGAACTCACCCACGCATTTCTAAATTTATTATCACCTTTTCTTTTTATTCCAACTGAAAAAAAGAGTATATTTTTCGTAAGATAATGAAAACACATTAATAAAAAGAATATATACAGAAAGGGAATGAATAAAGAATCTATCAAAAAAAGGGAATGAATAAAGAAAGACGAAAGGTATGTTGACAGTACAAACCACCATTTATTGTCATGTCAATTTGCCTCTCAGGAATGCATGGACTTACTTTCTATTCCTTTTTTGGGACTTCTTCGGAAGCACCTCCAAATATCATTGATCTCTTCACAGAAAGTTTATCAAACTCTCATACAAAAAGAACAAAGATTTTTATGGCATTGCATAAAAGCTCCTATCTTATGGAGTATATGGGATGAGAAGAAGGCTAGATTATTAAGAACAAAGAACAAGATGTACAGTCATTAATAGAACTCATCAAGGTGAGAATAGTATGTTGGGCATCGTTGAATGAAGGATTCAAGGGGGTTAAAACCAATAACTATGGAGAGGTTGGCAAATTGTGGCTGGTTTTTTCATTAGGAACCAACCCAGATTAGTAGAATGGAGACTTCCTGAAACAGGCAGAATAAAATTAAATTTTGATGAGTGCAGCTTAGGCAACCCAGGTGCGTCAGGATAGGAGGGACAGTGAGAGATGATAGAAACAATATTTTACTCAGTTTTCCAGTGCCAATATGGTATGGCAACTCATTGAGGAGCAAGGGACGAATGCTGACTGTAATTTAAGGACTAAAGTTGGCAGCTATGAATAATTGGAGAAATCTGATTGTGAAGGGGGATTGTGAAGTTGTTGGCCATTGGCCATGTGCAGAAGAGATCCCTTGGATTTACTGGTTTCTTGTTAGAGAAGTAAAAGAAATAACAAGCAGCCTGAACTGCTCGTTAAGGTGCGTTCCAAGGACTGACAATTACCTGGCTGACAATGTAGCAAAAAATGGGGTGAGTAGACAGTCTTCTTTGGGGAATCMCTGGGCATGAGAATGTTCTGTAAATTTATAAATTGAAAATTTTACATGTATTGTAGCTGTGAACTGCTTGTAATTTTCCTTGCTATCAAATCTACTAATCTAGCACGGCTTTTCTTGCCAATGAATACAGGCATACTCTATTAACTATAAAAAAAAGGTAGATTGATTTACTCCCCAATGTTTTTAAAATCCCATGATTTGGGATTCAAATCAAAATGCAGATAAAAGGATTCAAATAGCAAAATGAAATTGTTTCATGGAATTATCATACAATTTATGAGCAAATTGTTGAATCAAATTGCATATCACGATTAATGTGAATATTGTTTAAAACAGCAAAAGACATTTTAGTTCATATTTTACTTGGTCTAATTTGTAGTCCACTCCAATTTATTCTAAATTAGACAGGTTTTTATTCACCTTGGATTGTGAGGAGCATTGAGGTAACCTAGTGTCTAGAGCCTTACCTAGAATCACCTCTGATCATTGGCCTATTTCAATCTTTGAGGAAGATTTGGGTGGAAGAGGTCCAGCACCTTTTAGGTTTGAGAACATGTGGCTTTGTGCAGATGGATTCATAGAAAAAAGTTAAGGAATGGTGGGAGGAGAGCAATCCAAGGGCCTTGTGGGAAGGAATGAAGTTCCATTGGAAGCTGAAGGAACTCAAAGCCAAAATTAAGGAGTGGAACATCCAGCAGTTTGGGAGACTTGAGGAGAGGAAGCAAGAGCTGATTAGTAAGATTGAGGATCTAGATGCAAAAGAAAACTCAGGCTTGTTTGAAGAAAGGGACAAAGATGAAAGGTGGTCTCTAATGAAACAGTTGGAATATCTCTTATTGAAGGAAGAGATAAGTTGGCGACAARAATCAAGGAATAATTAGCTTAAAGAGGGAGGTAGAAATACCAAAACTTTCCATGCTTTGGCTAATGGAAGGAGGAAAACTTTTGTCTCCAAGTTGTTGGTAGGGGATGCCACCCTGACCAATCATAATAAGATTGCCCAAGCTTTTGTGGATCACTTTAAGTCAATATTTAAAAGACCTTTGAATAGAATATTGTGGATTTGATGGCTTAGATTGGCCTAAGCTGACTGAGAACTCTAAGGAGTGGTTGGAAGGAAATTTTGAGATTGAAGAGATCAAARAGGTCTTCTCTATGGATAGATCTAAAGCCCCTAGTCTAGATGGTTTTATGATGGCTTTCTACCAAGGCTGCTGGAAGTTTTAAAATGATTTATAGAAAGTCTTTAATGAATTTTTTGAGAGAGGTGTAATCTATCCAGGGCTCAACTCCACATTTATTGCTTTAATCCCTAAAAAGCCTGATGTTGTGCACCCAAAGGATTACAGGCCAATTAGTATGATCAATAGTTTGTACAAAATAATTGCTAAGGTGCTTTCTAAGAGAATTAGGGCTGTATTACCTTCATTGATCTCATCGGCTCAAGGGGCTTTCATTAAGGATAGACAAATTATTGATTAGATTTTGATTGCAAATGAATGTGTTAAAGAGATGAAGAGATCAGGAAGGAAGGGACTGATTTGTAAATTGGACTTAGAAAAGGCATATGATCTTGTCGATTGGGGTTTATTGGTGGAAATAATGAAAAATTTTGGGTTCGGTGAAAGATGGTGCAAATGGATCTTAGGTTGTATCAGGACTTGTCATTAGTCAATTCTAGTTAATGGAATTGTCGTTGATCATTTCCAAGCTATTAGGGGAATTAGGCAAGGGGACCCTCTTTCTCTATTCCTGCTCACTCTGATTGCAGAAGTCCTTGGGAAATTGATTGGTAGGGCTGATGCTAGGAATTTAGTGAGGGGTTAGAGAATTGGTAGAGAGGAGATACCTATCACTCACCCAGTGATTTAAAAGGTGTGCCTAGGCGCACAGGTGAGGAGCATTTTGGGGTATGCGCCTCGCCCAAGGCCTAGGCGCACCACTTTCAAAAGGCAAGCGCCTGGTGYGCCTGATGCGCCTTGCGCCTCAGCCCAGGCATGCATCTTTTTGCTTTTTTTTGAGTCTAACGGCTGGGCCGGGGGCTTCGCCCCCAAACCCCGGACCACGCCCCTCGAGGCAAGCCCGAACAAGTCTATGTTAGGGTCTGAAATTCTTATTTCTCACATAAAAAATAATGATTTTATAACTTCCATTGCCTCTTAAGAAAATATTTTATTGCAATGAATGAATGAACAACATTAGCAAATAGGGGGTTCTCGGAGCAGCATCTACTAGGACCGAGTTAATTGGGCCCCCAACTCTCCCAACATCGAATTAGTATGAGTTAGGCCCCCATCGAGTATGAAGTTTTATAACCGAGCCCTGCCCCTGGTTGCTTTGACATAAGAAATCTCACTCGCCGAATTAAAGTTTTCTCTAGGGAATTTTGCATGATTCTCATTTTCAAGGGTCAAGACCTATCTCAAGTTGGGCCCCAACTTTTAGTTGCTCTCCTTCTGAGAACCACACACCATTAAGGGTTTCCTCACCTCTTTCGCCACACATATTTTTAATTGCCAGATCAGCATCTTCTTCAACCTCTAGCCCATTCCTCCATAGTGGCGTTTCATATTCCATGACCAATCTGTTCATGGATCGAGTAGCCTAACGGGCTGGCCCGGTCCGACCCGTTCTAAGTTGGGCTTGGACATTATTTTAGGCCCATGGGTTCGGGCTCAAGCCTAAACACCAAGTTTGACCTTTTTTCAGGTTGGGCTCGGGCTTTCTCAAAAAAGACCGGCCCGATCTTAAGCCTGACTTGATAATATATATTATATAATAAAAAACATATGTTATTTAATAAATTATATATACAATATTTTTTTCTTTGTTTCTCCTCTCTTTTTTCAAGTAATAATAAGATCTTTTATTATATTTTAGTTTTGAGGGCTTTTAATATAAATAAAAAACTTTTTTATTCAATAAAAAAGAAAAATTTCTGGTTGGGCTCGAGCTCAAGACCTAGGCCCGATGGTTGGGTCGGGCTTGGGCTCAAGCATGAATGTATTCTATGGATACATAGGCAAAGCTCGGCCCGGCCCATGAACAGGTCTAGTGACCAACCAAACTTTGGTGCAGAGACYGTTGGCGAGGATATCAATCATCTGAGGAACATCCTCCAGCAAAATTCCAGTAATCTTCATCTTTGTTGCTCGCAAAACAGATGCATTAACCTCTAAAAGCCCCCAGAGTGATCCTTTCAAAGGAGGTTTCCTTCCATAGAGTGAAAGGTAAGCCAAACAACAATATCTCAAAAGCTTTAGCCACTACCTCCACCTTCTTGCAAGAGAACGACCATTTTTCTAATACCACCACCCCTTGTTTAGTCTCCACCAACCTAAAGTTTACCATTTTCGACCCTGTATCCAGAATAGCTCTTCTCTCATGAAAAGGAAATACCAAAACTCCAGAGGATATTTCTAATTTCTTCATAATAGCCTCTACAATCAACTTCCAATCAAGAAACTTCTTCTCAGCCTTTACAATCATTCTTCTATCCCAACCTCTGAAATCGTTTTCCAATGCTAACCTATGGACCTTCCAAGGCTAGTCACTGATATTTGTTGCTGCAAATCCTCTCACTTATTAGCCTCCAAGGAGTGTTGCTGGGTTTCCTCTAGCTCATGGCACTCGGTCTCTCCTTCAAAT